TATTTTGATAAAATCTGAAAGGAATCAGGAGAATCATTTTTAATAACCTCAAAGTAAGACTTTTGAATATTCAGTGACTGATTTTAAAAGAAAAGAACCTCCTAACCACACTAAAGAAAAGAATGAAGACTCCTTCCATTTTTAAAAAATGTTATCAGTAACATGACCCCAGGAGATTAAAATACTTCGAGCTTTCCGGAAGGCTGCTGGTGGAGACACACAAATGATAATTCAACTGTGCTTTATTTTCCAAATTCTCTTGATTTTAGGACTGCACATCCCTAGACTACTCCAATAGAGGTATTCTTTCAATATTCTTTACATGGGTCCTAGGATCCCTCTGATTACCACCTGTGGCTTGAAGATCCTATGACCAACCATGTCTCAGAAACATGGCAATAAAAGGAATGAAAGCATGGGTCCAGGCTCTTTGCCTCATTTTGTCTAATTATCAAAATGATCTTGCAGTGTAGATATATTTATCTTTTTTGTTTCCAAGATCACATCATTAATAAGCCCCAGGTCTAAAATTTGAGCACATAGACTCAAGTCTGTCTCTAAGACTCAGGCTCTTCCTGTCATATTACATTTCTTTGTTACTTGTTCATTAGTTTATTCATTCATTCACTCAACCCTTTCTTTAGAAAGTATTTTTGACTATTGGTCATAGGCATATGTGATATGGGAAAGGGAATTTAAAATTTTAGGAAAATTTACAAAGCATTATATTTGATTCATGTCCATAAAATACGTCATGGGAACTCAGAGGTCAGCTGTAGCTGGGGAGAGGCTTCCTGAAAAAGGTAGCATCTTAGAATGGGAATAGTTAGGGTCAGAAAGTCAGCATTCTGACAGCAAGAACAGCATGAAGAAAAGATAAAGGGTCAGGAAACACAAATTAGAGAGAACTGCAGGATGAAAAAGCAGAAGTTTCCAAGCTACACACTAATTTTGGAACATTTTCAACTGTATTTAAGACTACCAGATTTCATCCTTTATCTCTAGATTCCAGCATCCTCTTTAAATATTAGAAAATATAACAACTCAGGGCCAGCTTTACCCTGGATACAATCTACTGAAATCAAGTCACAGCTATTCCCTTCACTAATTCTCATGAGCTGATGTACACATTCATATTGTCTGCTCCACAACTGTGTGCATTTGAGCTCACTATTCTTTGAAGAGAAGACATAGAGCAAGTGGCAGCAGATAAAACTAACTACAAAGATCAGCAGGGGCACTTGCAGGTGGCTTTCCCCAGGGGACCAGCTGATGGAATAGCCAACTGGAGCTGCAGAGCCTGTCTGGTGCTGTCTGCTTAAATAAGCTTTTAGCACCTCCCTCTATGGATAGACGAAAGCAGGATGCAGTGACAGCCCTGGACAAGTTCATTCCTGCCTAGGAATTTACTGTGTGCTAAACCTGCTGGGTAGGTAGTTCCATGGACAGAGAGTGAGCACATAGGCAGAGAGGGGCTGTGGGACTATATATTTGGCTAAACAGTCTTTTCTTAAAAGGCGAAACAAGCTGGATATTAGTGAAGTCTTACTTGTCCATTATTACCTTGGGACCTGTTCTGTGACTTAAATGCTAGCTTTATTTAGCCAGCCAGGAAGACAGTAATGGCTCAGTAAAGGGGTAGAGCCATGAATTTCCAAGATTGGTTTGGCATTTTCTTAACCTAGAGATAAATGCTAGAACATACAGCAAAGAAAGCAGGAGGACAAACAAATAAGAAAGAGAAAGAGAGGATTGCAAAAAAGAGAAAAGTTCAACAAAAATTTATCAAACACCTACTATGTGCCAGGAACCCTCCCTGGTGGGCAAACCAAGGACATATTTGGGCTTTTTTGTTGGTTGATTCTTTGTTGTTAGATTTTTTTGGTAGGAGATAAGCACTATGGAAGTTATTTACCTGAATATAAAAATGTGAAGTCTTTGTGTCAGTTAAACCAAGAACAGATGGAAATTAGGTAACAGGAACCGGCCAGTTGTGTTCACCTCAAACATATTTGAAGACTGACTCTCATTCCAAGACGTAAGTAACAGAATACTGATTCTGCTCCATGCAGTTGGGCTAATGGCAAGAACTTGAGGTTTGGAGACAACAGGTCCAAGATTAAAGTGCTGCTCTGCCTTTACACGCTGCAGTATCTAACAAATATCTTGGAGCCTCAGTTTCCTGTCCTACAAAATGGGAACCATAACTTTGTATTACTTACAGAGTTTGAGGGAGGATTAAATGAGGTTACGTTTTCTGATACACAGTAGGTATTTTACACATAAGATATCATCTCCCCTCTTTAGCTCTTTTTTTTAAGCTTTCTTAATAACATGGTCCAAACCACTAGCAGTTCTGACTAGTTTTATTCATTCTGAAGGATAGTAAAGAAAATTTCAGGTCTCCCATCCTCTAAATGAAAGCTAATGAAAAATGAATGTTCTTTCTTTTCCTTATTTGGCTGTCTGCAAATTATGTTTTCTGATGCATGCTGGTTTTTCTGCTATTCCATGACTTCAGACACTGAACTTTGAGTCTTTGTCAAATCAGCAGTGCCGAGTAATTCCATACAGAAGTCTGACATTTCCAGTTGAAAAAAAATAAATTGATTAAAATTCAACAGGCATGTAGCGTTCGGCATTTAAAGGTCGAGGAATCTAGGGAACGATCAACTGTAAGATAATTCAACATTTAACATGGGTGGGGGCAAGCAGGATGTGTTTCTTTCCCTTACAGCCCCAGCATTTCACTGCTGGGAACATAATTGTGGCAAATTTAATTACAGCCTCAAGACAGGTCATCAGTCTTTGGGGAGCCTCAGTGGTCGGGCATCGCAAGAGTAAGAAAAGATCGATTTAACTTTCCACGGATAACATCTTTACCTCTGTTAGTCCAGAATCTCTTTCCTTCCCTGGGCTCTTTGGATCTGCTCTTTTTTTCCTTTTGAAATTCTCAGGACACTGAAAGCCACTTGGTCATTTGCTTAAAGAGAGGCAGGAAACAGACATCCCGTGCATGAACTCTGGCTTGACTTAACCACGCTTCATGCCCCATGTTACACAGCAGTGGCAGATGTCTGCCTGCTCACGTTTATCTAGCAAATAGGTAGCACTGAACTGGCATATGGTAAGCAAGTCTACAAAAAGTATTTATTGATTAAATGAATGAAAAGACAAAGTTTCAAATTCAGGCTCTTTTAAACATGATGAGATCCTGGGCAAGTTTTTCACTCTGGGCCTCAGGTTTCTCCTTCGTAAACTAGAGATGCTAATGTGTGTTTCACAATTACTGTACTGTTTTTAGTTATGTTTCTCTGCAAGGCAGTAAATTGCTTTAATGAAAGAACTAGTATTTTAGGTCAGTGCACATCCCAACCATGCCTGGCACAGTACCAAGAAAAGGGCGCATATTCAAAAGATATAAAATGGATTCAAATCTGAGCCATGTAGCAGCAAGATAATGTCATAGAATTCAGGAAAACAGGACTCTAAATATCTATCCTGTTACCACATATTATATGACCTCTAGGATTTAATTTGTTCATCTGTTACATGAGGAATTAATGTTTAGGGGGAAAAAAGCACTGCAGGGTTCCACTGAGTTCTGATATCCTTTGATCTCTATTCCTGTTTTATCAGGATTTTAATCACTAGGAACTATTTACTGAAAATTAACAGTGACTTGAAATTATAGCAAGTGAAAGAATTGTCTTGTGAAAAGACCAGGTGACTAAGTGGTGAGATGACTGCTCTCTGCGAATATCTAAGGAGGTTTTGTGACAGGGCTGTTGATTGCTTCCTTTATTTTTACTAGGAGGAATGGGCTTTGGTTATTCCAGGCAAGGGTGCAATTAGATATAAGGAGAGATTTCTTGATTACTTCAGGGATAAAATGATGCCTACTTTCAGTGTCCTCTACAGGTGAGAGCTGGAGTTCCCAATGAGTCAATCAATGAATCAACAAATATTTGCTAAGCCTGCATGCTGCTCATTTATCTCTTCATGACATTTTACTCAAAGTAAGGATCACAAGCCACCTGCATCGGAGTCACCTGGAGTTCAGTTAAAAATGTAAATTCTTCGACTCATCCCCCCAGAATCTTACACTCAGGAGCTAATGCCTGGAATTTGTGTTTTAATAGGCTGCCCAAGGGATATTTCTGCACAGCCTAAATTTAGACAAACACTTTGCTTGAGTTCCATAATCTTCAGCAATATTTTCTTCAAACCTAATGCCTATTAAACTAATAATAATGGCATATACCATTTTTTACTTGGGTCACATACAACAGTCACCAACACCCTGTGAAGTGGATATCACCCCGCCCCGAGAGGTGAATCAATAGACTGAGTGCCAAAGTGGTGCTCTCAGAAAGTGGCAGGATCAGAGCTTGAACCTGGGTTTCCTCACTCTCAGTCCATTATTCCATAGCTGATTTCCTGACCAGCTGGCTTCTGAGAAGTGGATTCTGTGAGAATCATGTTCTGCCGCTGTGACCTTGTTTGTGTCTGGAGGAGGATGGAGGTTGAAGAAGGTCACAAAGAGACAAGCTCATCCGTATTCAGGCTGTTCTGTTAGTTTCGACTTCCAGAAAGGAGGCTGAACAAACGCTGGATCTCTAGTTCCCTGTGGAGAGACTAAAGTATAATTTCTCAGACTGTAGATATTTTCCATTTTCTTTCAAGTAGGACATGGCATTTGGCATGTGATCTTACTGTGACCCCTACAGGTTACTTGAAGCAAAGTAAGCTGATGACCTTCATGGATCTCAGTACACAGGAAGGACTTCAGAAAGCCACCTTGAAATGCTCTCATTTGCTTTGCTCCTTATAATTGAAAAAAAAAAATCACTCTTTAGATGCTCACCTAAAGGTCATGAAGTACCAAACCCTCCCAGCTTTAGATAAGGAAGACCAATAGAGAGATTATTAGCTAACTGAGCTAGCAATTTAACAGTGAAATTATCTAATAACTATTTACATCTATTATCAATGATTACCTGGCAGGTGTGTTGGAAGTCAAAGGCAAGTTTCAGACAAATAAGATGCAAATACAGGTGATTTTAAGGGTGCTTCTTTCTTCAGTGCTTTTTTAAAAATTTTGTGCATTTGGTGTGCACTTGAGTCTTTAGTGTGCATCCAACCTGATTTTCTGGAGTTAAAATGCCACCTAGAATATTTCAGGAAAAGCATTGAAGAGGTATAGGAATAATTGGAATGACTTCACTTCTTATTATGATTTATTTATTCAACTTGCATTTATTGAAAGATTAAGGAGCTAGGGGCTACAGAAATGATTGTTTCTCATTGTGGAAGAGTTCATAGTGAAAAGAAAATAATGCACAACAGGGAACCCCACCCCCATGTTTTTGCCATAAAATGTTCTGCTCAAGCAATCTTTGTGCTGCAAGATGCTTCTACCTAAGGTTTCTAGAATGTGCTCTTAACTCCACCATCTGGCTCAGTGAGCATGCTCACCTGCAGGTGGGCCCTTACCCCATAGATCTCTACATAAGGCTGCTTCCATTTCTGCTCAGGGCTCAGACTTCGGAGTATGAACTCCTCTGAGTCTTCTGGTGTAATAAAGGTACCCTCTGTCTCTCTGGGTGCCACTCAACTTCTTCATCTCCAGAGACCTTCAGATACTCATAACACTTGGCCGTAATGCTAAACTGTCACATTTTGCTGTAACAATAGCATTGTGAGGAAGCAGAAAAAAGTTACCTTCCACCAAGGAATTATCAGCATTAAAAGAGATAAAAACATGGGGCTGGGGATTTAGCTCAGTGGTTTCACCGCCGGCTGCACAAGCACAAAGACCCGAGTTCGATCCCTGGTACCAAAAAAAAAAAAAAAGAGAGAGAGAGATAAAAACACCACAAGATTATCTCGGGGAAAATAACAGGTCAAATTAAGGTCATAATGCCTGGGCAATGGATGTATCCATGAATTAGTCTGAGTGCCCTTGGATATAAGTCACTTAACCTCTCTGGATTCTGGTCACCTGATCTCAAGTGTAAGGAAATCAGACGAAATGTCTCAATGGTGCTTTCCAGTTTTAACAGTCTTTGGTCCTGCTTTTATTTTTATGAGTGTAAGTTACTGAACTTAGACATGTGCCCTGTTAAAAAATATATATATTAAAATATATTTCCCCACTTCCCAGAACAACTGAAACCTCCTGCTTAGAATTTAAGATATCTTAATGAATACCTGGAATAAACTATCAATTTAAAGATGAATATGCTAAAGTCCAGAGAGGGAAAAGTATATGTCCAAGTCACATGTGAGTTAATGCTTAGCATTCTTAGAAAGCAGCTTCTGGAAACTGATTCAAGAAGAAAGCTCATCCAATGCACATTTCACTTCAGCTTTCCAAATTTGTGTTCAGTCCCGGGCATTTTTGAGACTCTTTCTTCAGATATAAAATTACTTTGATAAAATAAAATCCATTTTATTTGGAAAATAAAATGCATTATTCATCCCCAGGGTTGCTTTTAGAACCAATATAATTAATAATGTGAAAGATACAAGAGGAAAATGGATATTTTTTAAATGCCAAAAATATGAACAAAAAACAAGTATCTCCTTGCTATGTCCTTGTACTCATTCCATCAGGTATGCAATGTGATATCTAATTAAGGACTCTCAGAATTGAGGCTGTGGAGGTCTTGGAAGCAGTCATGAAAATGGTAGCAGTTGAGAAACAGTGATGTTAGTGTTAACAAAGTTAGTAAAGGTCATCAATTTAATTGTATTATTTTTGAAATTTTTCATAAAAAAATAAACCAGGCTTATAGAATAAAACTATTTATTGCATCAAATTCATGAAATGTAGCTAAGTAGACAACTTTCAGTTTGGATTTATTCAGTAGATCTACAATGACACCTAGAAAAACATTTTTTCAGTTTCCTCTTTAGATTTCAGCATAGGCTTCATATTCAGGTTGATTTCTTGGATAGACCTGAAATCGTTCATAACAGCAGCCTAGGATACACGCATAATTATATGTGTATAATAGAAGATAGGTGAGTATTTTCTTCTGATGCATAGCGTTCTGAATGTGTCTCTCAAAAGACCAATTTGAATCACTTATCCATCCCTGAAGCAGTAACTATGACCCTGGTAACATGATGTTTGTTGAACTTTCCACTATTTCCTTGAACTGGAGGAAAATTTTAGTCCTTTGCAAACTCAGTGGGCACTGCACATTTAGTGAGGAGAAGAATGAATGTTGGAAGAACATCACAAAGTACATTACAGGTTGAGGGTCAAAGTGACAGTGATAGTGTTACTGTTGTGCGAGGACTATGCTAAAAAAGGTGATAAAACCACTGAGATGATAAAGGTGGTGATGATGATGATGATAAGGATGATGACAGTGGTGGTGGTGGTGACTGTGATAGTGACTGTATAGACTAGTCGTTAAGGTAAAGTTCATGACAGTGATGAGGTTAATAAGTTTTATTTAATGCCAAAGGCCAACATTTAATTGTCAGAAGCTTAGAGAATTTGCATGCTTGTCCTATGTACTCTTCTTAAATAAATTGGCCCTGACCATAAGTCTTGCTTTTCCCTTCAAATAATCTAATTGTATCCACTTTCTCTGGCCACAACTGATTGAATGAAGGATGGCCACCTAATCGTGTATACCAACCCATCATTTGAGCAACTACTCTAAAAGAATAAGACACAGTCTATCAAGAATTTTTACTGTTACACTAGTTTCAGTCAGATGTTGAAAGGCTCTTGAAGTGGTAAATCTAATGTTCTGTATTATTATAAATTATTTTTAAATTAATTTTATTGGTACATTATAAATTCTATCATCAGTTTCCAATTATTTATCTCTTCCTCACCCTCACCATGTTTCCCTGCCCCAGTGCTTTGGGGTGTTGCCTAGTAACATAACCAAACCAAAAGAATATGAGCAGTCATGATGTTAGACACACATGAACAAATCCTTTTCATTTTGTTCTGTAGCTTGGCTGGTCTCTGTGCTCTAGGCCACATTGTTGAGAACAGTGCGATCCCGATAGTGGCATCCTTTTCAGCCTCATTTGCAGAATAAGAACTCATATAGAATCCAGATAAGCCTGATGGGGCTTTAGTTAACACAGTCATCAAGGAATATGAGTGATAATTATAAATGTCTTTATGATATTTTGAAGGTATGTATTAATACAGCATAACCTAGACAATAGATGACTGATACATTTGTAGTCAGAGCTGGAGCAAGCAATGCAGTGTGCAAAGCCACTTGCAAAGTGTAGTGATGAGAAAATAGTGAATCTGTATGAACTCAAAGGACACTGGAGCATAGAATAATTAAACAATATTTCAACATTTCTTTTCTGAGACAAGCTGGAGGAATGGAGCTCAGTCTGAGGCCATGAAGATGCAAGATAAATGCAGTGCTAGATGTAATAACCTGGGTGTCCACCCTGAGCTCGGACCTTTCGTACTGAAGTAGTTTCACTCCTACATTGGTCATTAGAGCCAAAGCAACTCCATGTTGAACCAAGGAGTTTTCCTTTATGGGAGAAGCTGACTTCTCATTGAATTATTTCCTCCTAAGGAAAGGAAAAGGAGAAGGGGTCTTACCTGATTCAACTCCATTCTCTTACCATATTTAACAAATCTGTTTATTAAATCATATTTAACATTTATAAATCAAATATTCCTCAGCCTGGATCATGTTTCCTAGTACAAAATGATCTTTATGTTCAGTTAGAGTTTTTGATAAAACATAGATATTTAATGAACAATGGCATTTTGTCCATTTTCTACAAGAAACAAATTCTAAAGATGAAAACTTCTGTAATTTTTCTGGTCTATCTTAATGTTTTAAAATGTCACATAAATAATAAATAATCATTAATAGAAATTTAAAAGATTATATCTATAGAATCTCAATTTCTTCATCTGTGGAAAAGAAATAATATGTTTCTCTTCAGGATCATCTGCCTATAGTGTAAGAGAAAATGTGCAAGGTGCTTAATAAAGTCTAAGTACTCTAGAAATGAAAAAAAATGTTAACGTTGAGGAAAATGGTGGGGTAGAGTCACTGCAAGAAAAGGAAGTGAGAAAATTTTGTATATTAAATAACAAATACAAAGGTCTTTAGGGGGCTATTTGGAAAACGGAGAGAGCAAGTCATGCAAACAATAAACATGTCCAAAACTAACTGGAAAGGAAGCTCAGAGTGAATTCCATCTGTTTTCTGCCTGCAGCTGTTATTTATTTACTTTTCTGCTTCATCAATTGAGGAACAATTGTTATTTTTTTAAACCTCAAAACATAAGGAGAGAAAAGAGAGGTGGAGGAGGGAGCAAGCAGGGAAAGAAAAGAGTGAGACAACAACAGCTAATGTACATTGAGCTTTTACTATGTGCCAGGGACTTTTAAAGTGTTTTTGCATGAAATAATATATTTGCTATTCACAGCACTAGTATGGATAGGTTACTCTGGTCTCTATTTCATAGGTAAGAACTGGTGTGGAGATGCAAGTGGTTTGCCCAAGAACTACTAGTTGGAGAGAAGAATCTACTTGTACATTCAAAAATTTTATTCCAAAGAATGACATTTTAAATCACTACAATATGTGAAGTATGACCAAAAACTATGGTAAATGTTTAATTTTCTTTAAAACAATTAGAGTAAAATAAACATTTCCATTAATCCACCTCAAAATATTTTCTCACCTGAAAAACACTTATCCCATCATTCTTGCCAGTTTCTGAAACAATTCTGAAAGTCTTCTTTCATGAATGTCTAGTTGCACTGTCATGGCTTCCTTGATGTCTTGAATCAATTCAAAATTTTTGTGTTTTATGGTCATTTTGCCCATGGGAAAGTGCCAAATCTGGCTAATAGGTTGATGAAGATGCACCATAATGATTTCACAAGTCTGCTTTTCTGTTAGATGGCACTCAGCAACAACATTCACCATATATTTGATAACACCTCATAAAGATATTCACAAAAGAGGACTTAGAGAACTGCTTAAGAAAGTGGCAAGAATGATGGGATAAGTGTGTTCAAAGGAAAGGGAAGTATTTTGAGAAGAATTAAAGGCAATGCATCTTTTAGTATGATAATTATTTTTAATTTAATCATTCACTGTATATTTTTGGATAACATTCCAAGGTGAACTAGTATGCCCCAGA